TGTGTGTGTGTGTGTCCCAGAAACTAAAATTGTCTTTTTCTGGTTGTTTTTATCAGCGAGCGGCCCACGTGGACTCTTCCGAGGACCAGCCTAAGTACGCTCATTCTATAATAAAAGAGTGTATTAAATTAATTATTGGGTTGTTGCCAGCAACGAGTATTATAGGCCTCATAGACTTGCAGTATAGAATCTAGTAGGCCTATTTAGTATCCTAGTCTGTGGTGGTAGGCTCAGAATTTTGGTAGGCAAAGGCAGAAAAAAATGACTTCCGTATTTCGCCCCTCTTTGTGACTTCTTCTTAGTGGTCTCCCTTCCTTCCAACAATAATATAACAACTTTTTGAAGTAGATCCTTGCCCTCCACTTTCTCTTGCATCACACCGTCCGGTACGTAAAACAGCCTGTTTCAGGAGTTTCTTATGGTCGATTAGAGACTTGCTACTTTCTAATACTAGATCTAGCAATAGTCTAGTCTTTTAAGGCCCTCTTTTAATAGGCCCTCTTTTAATACCTTTGTCACACTTTGTGACATGTGTTGTCTCAGTGGACTCAACGGGAGGACTTCCGTAACGAGCGACCACAAAATGAGACAGAGCAGAATTGAGGGCTTGGGGTAGGGGTAAGCAAGGGTAGGGGTAGGGGTAGGGTTAGGTTTAGGCTTCTTCTTTATTGTGTTTGATGGGGCGGTCGCTCGTTACGGAAGTCCTTCCGACTCAACGATCAAAATGCAAAGAAGAGAAAATACTGGCACTGACTGTACTGTTGGTCAAGACTGGGACAACTGGGCACACTCGGTGTCGGTGCTGGTGGTTGACCACTTTAGTAATTAGATCTAGAATCTAGATCTAGATCTAGATCTAGATTCTATCTAGACTAGACTCTAGATCTAGATCTAGATCTCTAGATTTAGTCTAGATCTAGACCATAAAATTATATTTACACAGTGATTATTCTCACCCGGGGCCGGGATGAGGATAAACTGGATATTATTCTCACCCGGGGTGAGAATAAAATTGATACTATTCTCACCCCGGGTGAGAATAAAGACAGCCTACTATTCTCACCCATTTTTTTCGTTTCGGGCATCATAGGTCCCCTGTCACTGAGCGCTCCAGGTGACAAAACTCGTCTCCCTCTCTCGCTCCGCTGAGCGCGCAGCGACTAAAATCGCCAACGGGCGGGCCAGCTCTCGAGCGCGGGAGGCGACTATTGTCGATTTTGGGGAAAGCCTTATCTTTTGAGCAAATGACGTCACCTTTTGTTGCTACAGTATTAATGTATTGGTTCTGTAATGGAAAATTTTACTCTTGAATAATTTAAAACCAATCAAAATTAGGAAAAAATATAAATGCCCAGGGTCAACAAGGCACTGCATTCCTTAAAAATAATCGTGGGTTCTGCTAGGGATAACAATTAAACATATGTTTTTTCTGTTGTAAACAAATGCCCATTCTAACATTACAATGACAAACTACTACTAACATTATTTCATTAAAATAGCTTTCTGTTAAAAAGACTATTATATTTTTAAAAACTTACTTTACTCTGGCAAGTGAATTCCTTTCTGAATTTAGAATATATTTACACTTGTCTAGGGTTTTGGTGAAGATATTCGTGCATACTCTTAACTCAAGATTTAAACAAATGAAACTATAACAATCCCCGTGGGAGCCTAGAAAAATCGGCCAGCGCTCTGGGGCAGGTCACGAACGGTCACTCTCTTACAATTCAAAATTATTTTCTATCATCCGTTCTCAACACCCAGGTAGACCCAAAAAAATCCATTGCATTCTCAGACTGGGTGAGAATAATATATTCATTTTATTCTCACCCGCGGTGAGAATTACAATATAATATTATTTTCACCCCGTGTGAGAATAAAATGGATAATTCTCACCTCGGGTGAGAACAAAATTATATTTTTATTTTCACCCCGGGTGAGAATAACGACAGCCATATATTTTTTATTAGTTGACGTCGACTTTGTTCTAGGGTTGAGGGTCAGATGTCCTATGTGTACAGGCAGACCTTACTATGTAGTAGTCTCCGCCTAAGATCCCGGTTCGCTTAAGATCCCGCTGTTTTAAGAAAACAGAATTTTTACTATACTAAAGTCACCCCTAAAATCCCGCTCTGCTTCACTCTGAACGTCAACATTCAGCTAAGATCCCGCATTTCAGATCATAATCATAACTTGCGGAACAAAAACCCGGGCGGGCACAGCCGATCAACCAAGAGTGAAAAGTTGAGATCAATAAACTGTCCGTCGCGTCAAAGATCAGTCACTATTGTGAATGTGATCACATACATGTAGTAAAACTTGAAGGAGCAATACATTGTTTGCCCCAGACGGGATCACACCGAGGTGTGAACTGACCGACACGTTTGTTTTCCCCACGCATTGCACTCACACCTGAGCAACAGGTGGTATCACATCGAACTGTGAACTCTTCCCTGACCATTGCAGCAGTTGTCTCTACTCGCGAATTTGCGAGACAGACTGAATTTTAATTGGTGTGTTCACAACGTAATGGTGTGTAACGACAAAGGG